TGATTACAGGTGTTTGGTAATCACAGAATGTAATCGACGAAATCATCTGTAATCATGTAATCAAATTCTGTGCTCTTGGTAATTACGGTTATCACATAGGCAATGGTAATCAGTGTAATCAATCCCACAATCCTGGGTAATCGGTTGCTTTTTGTAATCGCGGTGTCACCCAATTCGCCGTGAATAGCCCCTCCATTGGTGATTCATCTGGAATGAGTTACTGTTAAACATTTTTGACTGAAATTTCCAGAACGTTTCGTGAAAATTTTCATTGCATCCTAGTTCTACGAAAATTAATGAATTCAATGTAAAAATCAACGGAAACTAAATTTAAGTTCAATTATTCCACTTGCCACGCTTTTCTAGGTAATTTTCATCTAACTTTTCTCTTCGTGCACAAAAACTAATTTCGAGCCAAAGAGCCGAATAGATCCAGTGGAAAATTTTCCTGCCCCATCGACGAGAATGGAAAATACTCAACTAATTAGCCGATGGAAGCAAGTTCAGGCCCTTCCCCTTGTGTGTACGCCTGGACTGGTGCATAATAACCGCATATTTCATACCAAGTTAAAGAGAGGGAGGAGAAAATGTAACCACTGAGCGTTAATTAAATATGACTTGAACCAGCAAACGTAATTAATCATTTTAAAAGTTCTGTTCTCGTCATTGAACATTGGGGGCTGTGATTGATATCATTTCTTCATCGAGCCCTTCTCAGATTGCACGGAGAGAAATATTCAGTGAAAATTACGGAACAATTCACGTAATCCGCAATAGGGAATCGTTTTACGGCAATTTTTATAGGAATGGAAGAGAAGAAATTTGAAACGTTCAGTGAATTTTCTAGTTGATCACCGAACAAAGTACGAAATTGTCACGTAACTTTTCCCGAAGAAGTGAAATTTTACAGAAACTTCCCGACTTATCATGCCTCCAAAATCAAAATTTTTTGAACGTTCTACAATTTTTATGAAGCTGGTGCGAGGAGCTATTCACAGGCATAATCGTGATGTCACCAGCTGATGTAATCAATTGTAATCCCAGTGAAATCAATGTAATCATTGTAATCACATAATTACAATGTTTGTAATCGAGTTTTGGTAATCAAGTGGTGATCATTTGTAATTACTGTAATCATTTGTAATCAGTGTAATCTTTCGTAGTTGCTCTTGGTGAGACCGTGAATTTTGTTTTTGAATTTTCAAGCGTGTCATTTCTACCAACGGTAAGTCTCAGAGATCCCTGGATCAATTTTTCTTGGAATCCCAGAGGTTTATGGTTCAAAACCTTGCATAGCCAATACGTTTTGCACAGAGCATTTGTCCGTAGAAAATTGATTCAACAGAGTTAAAATTTCTTCTTATTCTGAAGAACCAACGACTGAATTATCTCTGAATTATCTGCTGGTACGTTTCATTATTCATCAATAGTAGATATTCAGTAAATTTATTTTGCTGATAGCACTTATAAATGCCCAAATTTTTAGATGGAGTGATGGAGACTGAATTCCTCTGTTCTAATCCACGCCCCTTCTTTCTCATTTCTTTGCAGGTTCTAATAATTAATTATTTCATCAATTCATATTTAATAAGGGACTATTTTTCGTGATTTCAATGATTACAGATGTCTGGTAATCACAGAATGTAATCGACGAAATCATTTGTAATCATGGTTATCACATAGGCAATGGTAATCAGTGTAATCAGGCCCGGAATCCTGGGTAATCGATTACATTTTGCAATCGCTGTGTCACCCAATTCGCCTGTGAATAGCTCCTTGAGCTAGTGAGTTATTTCTACGTTCCGTTCCGTAAAATTTCTCAATCGTTGGGGAAAAATTATGGAACGACTTGTTGTCCTCACAGCGGTGAGTCATCAGACGGCTGGTTAAATTTTACGGAACAAATGGTAGAACTTACGTGGCGATTCGTACAATTTCGGTTCCGACTCACACTTTTTATTGAATTTTACTTCGCTCGTGGATTACGTTTCGAAACGTAATTATTACATCCGCTATACATCCGAAATCCGCTAATGGATCCTCCCATATCAGACTCGAGAAATGCTGTCATTCTGTTTTGGATAAATCTTGAAATTATTTGTGGATTCAAATTAGCTAGACGGCTCTCATCCCCAGATACTCATTAAAAATAGAATGAATTTTATTGAATGAGAATGTAAAGTATGAAGGTTTTAATATCGTAAATCGATTTGGTTTGAATACTTTTGAAAAAAAAGAATTTCGTGACTTCGTGAATTCAATTTCGTGACAATTTTCAGAATGAGGCTTTTAGTATCGAAAAACAATCCGGTACCGAGTATTAAATAATTCAAACGTCTTTTTCCGTCCGCGGGATTCAGTGAAAGTGCTGTATTGAGACCGCTCTGCTGGGGAATCAGTGAAACACTAGGGCAACGAGTTAGTTGGTAACGGAGAACTCTGCATTACTCTCAATTCATAGATATTTCCGTGATTACTGAATTATTCTATTAATGGAAAGGTTCAGAGAAAATCTCAATAAATGGTTTTTATAAAGAAGTAAATTTTCTACAAAACTATTTGTAGAATAGTTTCCGTAACTACGGAACTTTTCGTAATTTTCCTCTGAATAAACTCATTATCAAGACAATGTCCTAATCAAGGATGTTTAACCAAAACTCACATTATTCATCATAATTCTGATAGTGTCTCATGTGCCAGGTTCATGTGCTACACGTTAGTAAATAATCTTAATCCTTCCATCGAGACGTCCTCGTGAGAAATTAATTTCTGAAAATCACTTCTTGTAACATTACGCTTATGGAAGAAACGTGACCGTGTGAACTTTGATCGAGATGTTGCATGGGTTAGACACTCAAGATATTGAAAAAAAAATCACAAGCCATTTACTTTAGAATCTATCGCCGGCGAGAACAAGTAGGTGTCGGGGCCATATAGGCGTGATATCTTCGATTAATTTTTAAATTCCTCTGAAAAAAATTCGACCGCCATTACGGGTCGAGCAATGCGACAACACCGCAGAACAGCTGATCGAGGTCGGTAAAGTCGGTGACGATAATTCAGTGCTGGAAGCATGTGAACACGTATAACATAATACACAAACATTCATCTCGCTGTTACAACCCCACTACTAGCCGAAGCATGCGATGTTGCCCGACCAAAATTCGACTGTTACCACAGTAGTCACAAATCCTCCATTATTTATGAACATTATCTTCAATTATTGTTTTTGTGACCGAAAAAGTACGCCACAACACTTCTAATTTGATGAGAAGAATAATTTCTAGCATGAATGATTTATTTAGTCAATTTTATTTTTCTTTTGAACTCAGTTGTTCAGTTGATAGTTTAAACATCCTTAATAAAAAACTTCATATTAATACAATTATTAGTTGAATCACCTTACCAGCGACTTTTTTAACATGAAAAACAAATTTAGAAGACAACTTTGATAGAGAATTTAATTATTTACGAATTTTAAAAAAGCGCTTACTTTTTTTCTTGGAACCACTCATCAACATAATCATTACCTAATTCACAAAAAATGATGTGCGATATTACGAAAAAATATTGACATACAGTTTTTTGTTGAGAATGTATTTCGAGACTTTTTTTACTGAAGCCTCTCACTAACGGAAGAATCACTTAATTAGTAAAAGCTTCACGCCGGCACAATAATTAATTGCATCATTACGATAATGAGTATTTTTTTATATGAAAAGATGTCAACAGACGATACTGACGGAGCATTTAATTATTACAACAAACATGCGCTGACAGTTCTTCCTGGAACCACTCATCGATGAAATGATTACCTAATTAACAAAAACTCGATGTATACATAATCATTAATTGTTGTATGATCTCGGTAATGAGGGATTTTAGCCAAAAAATGTCGAAATACACTTCTTGTAAAGAATGGGGCAGTCTATAAAAAATTTCTAACGATATTTTTTCCGAAAAGTCTTCACTACCGAAATGAACCACCAATTAATAGAGATCCCACGTCTGACTAAATCGACTTTACTACTGAATTTTCATGTTTTCATTGCATGAAAAATTAATTGAACCCACACAACCCAAAAACCCAACGCCTTTTCCACCCCAACGACCCCATGAATACAACTATTCCATGATTATTCATCATTTCATTTTTCCTTGATGCAGGAAATTGGAATATTGGAAAATACAATAAATTCAGTACAGAAGTCACGGAAGACTGAATACATTTCACCAAAATATATTTATGTGCATGATACGTTAACCCGAATTCTCGTGTCTTCAGTGTGGAATACACATAACCCACACATTTGCACTGCAAAATTTATTTTCAAGGCACCATCGGATTATTCAAATACCACGGAATTCTCTATACATATCGAATATCTCAATGACAGACAGTCTATTCTACCTGTAAGAAATACTCAACATGTTGACTCTAAATTTTTTCGCTCCTATCAGCTTTATTTCTCGCGATAAACTCCACGCTGTGTGCGTCATGTTCTCTCTTTCACATTTCTTTTCCTGGGATTTATTTTATTGAGAAATTCAATTCGGTGGGATGTTCCAAATGACCTTCAACTTGATATGTTTAATTCTATACGTTTAGGAGATCTATCTAGTGTAAATTTAGTATTGTTCTTGGAGAAAAAAATTCTAGTTTCAAGAAAAAAATTTCCTCAATTCTAGAAACCGTAGAACATGCATTATTCTAAAAACTTGATTTTTTAAATGATTTTCAGAGACAAAAATCAATAAAAATAAGAATAATTGATCATTGATTCTGGAAAATTTTTCCTAAAAACAATCCAAAACTCCACTAGTTTTCATCACTGAACGATTGATGTGTACTAAGAAGAGGAGTTTCTTAAATCATTTTTTTTTCGAAATTTCAGAAACTTTTTTGAATCAACTGTTTGTTGGTTTAGGTGGGAAAATAATTATTCAACAAAAGTCATTATTCATTACAATATTTTTATAATTTAGTTGATTAGCATCGCAACTCTCACATTGAATTTTACATTGTCTTCCTTGGGTTGCACCAGTTATCAACTGGACGACATTCGAACTGCGACATATCAACTAGGACATTTCAACTGAGGTGCACTGACTGCTGATTGTGATTTCTGACTGCTGTTGCAGTTGAAATGTCGCAGTTGAAATATTGTTCAGTTGATAAGTCGTGTCACCCTTCCTTGATGAATGGAAATGCTGGAAATGGTCTATTCAAAACTTGTACAGGATGTCTGGATCAAAATTGCATCTATACAGCGCCATAATTAGGTTGTCTGCAGTACTGAAACGTCGCCCTGCAATAATAATTCGAGGGATCGAATGAAGAATTCTTGCTGAAAATTTGATTAAAAAACTGTGTGATGCAATGCAGGAATCTCTGTCTTTTCAACTAGGCGACATTTCAACTACGACATTTCAACTACCGCCTGTTTAACTAACACTTTTTCAACTTATCACATTTCAACTATGACATGTCAACTGCTCAGATTTAAATACATGCCATGGATCGCCATGGAAACATGGATCGGACCCAAAGTACGTCGATACCGAACCCCCCCCCCCCCCAAATCGAAATTGATATGTGGAATTGTTATCAAGCGGTAAACGGTATAACGGCATCAACATACGTCTCCAAGTATCCCACGTTCCAATGGATCGATTCATTGAAGCCCTTAAGGAGTAACGGAACCCGTCGCACGTAGAGGTTAGGGGTTCCCCCTATCGGTATTGCAGGTTCCCGTGGTTTTTTTGATTTTATACGTGAAAAGTACAAAAGCCAATAATAAAAGCAAATAATGGTATGGAAACATTCTACATCATCTTCTGACGCGTAAAAGTACTTCCCTCTTACAATTGGTACCCTGTAAAGGACATGTTACCTCCTGGATACCACCCAATCATCATAGACAAGTTTTTACGAAAATTACGCAACAAAAGTACGTTTTTATATTCAAAATCTGTCTTGGACCTCACTCGATCGCTCTCTTCTCATGAAAATAGCTATCGGCTAAGAAAAATCTACAAAAAATCGGTTTTTCTACCATGACTTGGCAGATTCCTATAAATAAAATGGCGTCGGCCTTGCCCTGGTCCTTGACGTTAAATAATTTGCAATTTTTTTTGCATAAATAAAAAAAGCATGCGAAGAGAGCGACGCGTTCCGCTACTTTCAATACGGGGAAAAAGTTTCATTGATTCTCATTGCATAGAATCCAAGAAAACTTGTTTTTGGTAAACGTCTTTTTGTGGTCGGTTCCGTTACCCCTTAAGGACGAAGAGGCTGCAATGGAACTCAGATGGACGCAAACTAATGGCGGCCAGCCCCCTCCAAAAAAACGAAAGGCTTACAGAGATCATGACGCGAGAATCAAGAGAATCGTTAATCGCAAAAATACATTGGACGATATTGAAAACTGTCTGCGTGGAATCATTCAATGCATCTCAATATAAAATGGAAAACAGCCTTTGAAAATAAAGCATGGGTAATTCTAAAAAAAACTATTAATACTAAATTATTTATCTCTTAGGATTGTTAATATAAAAACTAATTGAATCTTTGTCCGATATTAATCATTAATCTATTAGCTCAGTTATTAAATTGAGTTGCATCACGTTGTCTGTTGAAAAGCAAAGCGTAAAAACAATGAAAATAAAAAAATCTCAGCTAATTCTCAAAAATATAGTAATTTCACAAAAATTAGTTGATATGTTGGGGTTGAAAATTTCAATTCAAATGTCGTAGTTGAAATATCGCATAGTTGAAAAGACGTGCCACCCAATGCAGTCATCAAATGCAATCGTGAAGATGAGAATTCGTCAATTTATTACGAAACTTCTATTTGGAAGCAAAAATATTAAAATATTTCTTTCGATATTTGAAAAAAAGCCAGTCATTTAGATTCAAAATTTTTCAAGATTTTTCATTGTATTTCATTTTACATTGACTCCGGAGGGCATCTGCCTGCCGTTAGAAAATAAAGATGGTGGTGCAGATGCAGATCATTTTGTTCAATTATATTTTCACACTTTACCTTTTACACACTTCTTGAAATTCACCACGATAGGAGAAACCTGATTCTGTACACTAGGATCACTTATTTTCTGAATTATTTTTCTGAATCGATCGACATTCACTCGACCTCGCACTCCATCAAACTGTGAATGATATAGAGAGTACATCCCTGATTATTTATTATAAGGTTAAAAGTGATAATTCGACAACCACCTTTCGCTCCGGAATTACGGAAAAGATACGTAATTTTTATTGGATATTTGTCTCCGTGTACACTGAGAAAAATAAACACGTTGTCAAACAAGTCTTGTTTGGGCCAACAAAATCGCTAGTTGAAAATTGCCAAAAAAGAATTTGTTTGGTTCGTATTTGAAAGTCTTAAACATGAATAATTCTTCCGCTTTCGACAGCAACGAAATATTTGGCTCAAGAGGCGGATCATTCCCCCCAGACGGTGCCTTTTCAGAATATCTTATATAGAGGAAAATTTATCAATAAATATTTTATCCGTAAGTTACAAGATTGCTACCATATCATTATTATTGTTTCATTTAAGGGTTCATTTCTTGTCTGTGATTATTGGACAGTCGAAACGACGAACTACTATCCCTTGTTTCGCATAAAACAAAGATTTTTCGGGAGCAAAATACGTATGGGAGTATCGGATAACAAAGAAGTAGTGCTAGAAATGTCATTTCGTGCGTACACAGAGGATGCAATTTTTTTTAACAATCTATTTTTGCGACAAAAATATTTCATTACGGCGCACTCTCTGCATGTTTGGCACAAAAAAATCCTTTTTTGATAATTTTCAAAAAACTTTTCTTGGCACAAGTAAAACTTGTTTGAGAACTTTGTCGTTTTTCTCTCAGTGTAAATTGGTCACGATATGAAACCCCGCAGCACGTAGTTTTCTATTAATTGCCACTGAATGGCTGACCGGAAAAATAAAAAAAACGACTTTTTTAATTAAAGTGTCTAAAAGATTGTAGTGTTTTTAGAATGACATAATTTCCGACATTTAAAACCGTATTTTGCTACACATTTATTGTCAATGGAATTCTAGAATTTCGGAAATTTAAAGTACACTGTTAGAAAGAAAATGAAATTTCATGGACAATTGACGACTAATTTTCAGGACAGTGACACTGAATGCGATTTAGTGGGAAAAAATCATAAAATTTCAGGTTTCACTGAAAATTCAGTGAAATTCCAGAATTTTAAGCAGTATAAAGACGAGAATTTCTTAATTTATTTGAATTTCCAATCTAATATGAATCTTTAGTGCTAAATTACATTGAATTTTCAGTGAAATCTGGAATTTCATGTTTTTCCCCCCTAAATTGGGTTCAGTGTCACTGCCCAAAAAATTCAAGAATATATTTACTGGAATTTTCTGGTTTTCTATTCATTTTGAGGGAAAAATGGAACTGAAATTTACAGTTCTCTTTGATTTTCCACGAAATTCTGAATTTTCACTGCCCAAATTCCTTGAAATCTCAGTGGTAATTAAATTCCATAAAAATTTACAAAACGTGTGCCGAAAAATTCCACCAAAAATTTTTAATAGTGTAGATAGAAGTATATATTACTCACAATCCCAGAGCTTTCCAATATGCATTCATACAAAGCCGATGCTGTTCTTGCCAGGCCTGGATTTAAATTTTCTTTATAAATTGTTTTACACAAAAGAAAATCGTTGAAAATTACCCCTGAATTTTATAAACGCGTCGTGTATTAAACTATCGCAAATGTTCACCAGAACTCGAGGGTAAAAGGAAATAACACTCGCAAGTAACTACGTTATCATTGAGAATTTTTCACGGCAAATTTTGGAATGTTTCATCGACTTATTGCATTCTCTACAGTATTTTTAGTAACACTATAGAAGTGCAACTTCGGATGGATTTGAGGTTTTGGGTCTTATTGTGTGCGTCTCTTCTAGTAAAAGACGGGAAAAATATTGCAAAATGTAGGAAAAAATTGGGCGTCAGAAATTCGAGGGGTCTAAAGTGTGAGCCGTGTTTCTACAGCCATTTTCTATGAGCTAGGTTACACCTATTTAATTGCAAACCTTTATAAGGCAAAGGCGAAGAAAATAGACCAGAAAAAAAGTCCACGCACCTAAAACATGCTAGAACTCACCCATCTTGAAAATTTCTCTTGGTCTATTTTTTCCGGGATTTCTAGTGAGTCACCTATCTTTTTATATAAGTGCTCATATGGATATGAGTGCTGTATTTTGACCCACCTACGCCTTTCTTCTAAATGCGAAATTAATTTAATAATTTACAATTTAGAGCTATACCTTTGAAATTAAATTGTTTTCCAGTACGAGCAATGAGGTCTGAACCCATTGCGGTGCCAAGATCACAACACGTATAAGTGTGAAGAGAGAGGGGGGCGTCTCAGTGTATCAGTGTGCCATTTGGAATGCCCGGTGGCGCACGCCCTCCACTATAATATGACGAAAAGTGGGGAGACGCTTAGCACCGGAATGGGTTAATCTAACCTCACCAGCTCTTAGCATAACCCAGGATTCATGATGTAGACGTAGCTGGCTTGGAATCCCATGGCTCTAATATATTTATTGAAAAAAGAAAGAAAAGATTGGAGAATAAAAAAATTTTAATGTATAGTCAACTTTTGTGCTTCCGAATTTTTGTAAAATACCAGAGAAAGCAATAGTCTACCCGATCACGAACATTCGAGGGTTATCTTCAACACACAAAACGATGAATGTAAATTAACCCTCGTTTAATATAGCCTATCTGGTTTAGGGGGATTATTCTATATACTCTTTAGAATATATGGATTTATATATTGATATATATCCGAATGAAAATTAGTGAAATTCAGTCAGTAAAATTACAATTTACGTATCCATATAATAATGAAAATTATTGTAAATTGTGACAATTCAGGTCATCATGTCAATCTATCAGAAATTCAATCGAATGTAATGCTAAATTTTTACAATGAGTTTGAGAATTTAAGCTGTCCTTAAAATCACAATGATCGCCAAACGTGAAAAATTAAGTTTCAAGATGAACAAAAAATTCTATGAATGACTTGATCGCAAATTGAAATCAAATTCACAGCACTGAAAATTCAAAAGCAGCTTATACTCAAATTTCAAAAAAACTTCTGGTAGCGTAGAATATACTGAGGAAGAGTTCATTTACACTTATCGTTTTCCATCGCAGAGTAAAAAAAGTTTTGATTTTCAGGAATGTATCCCCAATTATTAGAAATTCGTGACTGCGAAATTCAGTGAGTGCAAAATTTAAAAATTCAGTGATTTTGTCACCAAGTTTCTGAGACATTATTACTATTTTCCAGTGGTATCATCACTAATTTTTAGGGACACCTTCACTAATTTTCAGAGTAATGTCACTGATTTTCTGGGACTGATCTCTAATGTTCAGCGTAATGTTCGAAGGGCTATTCACAGGCGAATTGGGTGACACCGCGATTACAAAATGTAATCGTTTACCCAGGATTACGGAACTGATTACACTGATTGCCATTGTCTATGTGATAACCGTGATTACCAAGAGCACAGAATGTGATTACATAATTACAAATGATTTCGTCGATTACATTCTGTGATTACCAAACACCTGTAATCATTGAAATTACAAAAATGGTCTCTTATTAAATATGAAATTAATGGAATAATTAATTATTAGAACCTGCAAAGAAATGAGACAGGAGGGGCGCAGGGTTACAACAGAGGAATGCAGTCTCCATCACTCCATCTATAAATTTGGGCATTTATAAGTGCTATCAGCAAAATAATTTTACTGAATATCTACCATTGATGGAGAATGAAACTTACCAGCAGATGATTCAAAGATAATTCAGTCGTTGGGTCTCCAGAATAAGAAGAAATTTTACCTCTGGTAAATCAATTTTCTACAGACAAATGCTCTCTGCGAAACGCATAGGCTAGGCAAGGTTCTGAACCATAAACATCTGGGATTCCAAGAAAAATTGATCCAGGGATCTCTGAGACTTACCGTTGGTAGAAATGGCGCGCTCGAAAATTCAAAAACAAAATTCACGGTCTCACTAAGAGCAACTACGAAAGATTACACTGATTACAAATGATTGCAGTGCATATAAATAATTACCACTTGATTACCAAAACTTGATTACAAATATGGTAATCATGTGATTACATTGATTACATTGATTTTACTGGGATTACAAATGATTACATCAGCGAGTGACACCACGATTACGCCTGTGAATAGTCCCTCGGTAATGTTACTATTTTTCAGGGTCATCTCTAATTTTTAAGAATCTATCTCCAAATTTCAGTGATAAAAATCACTGATGATCAGGGTCATTCTAGTCAGTGTCCAGTAGCATCAATAATTTCTGACAGATTCATGAAAATCAGTGACATGTCTCTGCAAATGAAAACTTTTTTTTCTCTGTGATGAGAACAAATTTCTGATGTGCAATTTAGTATTGGTATACGTTTGTTTCCGCAAATATTCACGTATTTCCTGACTGATCCCACTCTACTGTCTCCACAATTTGCCACGTTGATAATTGTGAGAATACCCAGGATTATAACATGGACTAACTTCGCCATTTTATATCAAGATTCAGCTTTATTCAAAGTTTGAAAATACTTACAACGACAGGTGCCAGGGCAACTCATCAATATTTATACCGACAGAAATATTTTCCTGTCACTTCCGCATAAACTATCGCACTGACAATAAATGGAGTATTTCAGTCTCGCAACTTTAGGAATTTCTTTACACGTAGAATAAGAGAAGATGAAAATATAGAACCTCGTCAACTTTTTCGACCTTGAGAACTTCATATCGTTGACATTGTGATAATCTTCAAACTCAGTCAAAAAAATCTCCAAAGAATTTTTTTACGCCACCATTCAATGAATTCGGACGATTTTGTTCTCGTTTTGTTGGAACAGCCGATTTTTACAAAAAGTAGAAAATTCATAAATATAAAGTATGGATTACATATTGTTCGAAGCTCATGGATAGGGCTTAAAAACATTTACCATTGAAGAAACAAGACAGGTATTTTGAAAAAAAAAACAGTCAGACAAGAAGTTTGGGAGATATTGAACAAAACAGTTTTTCACAAAAAGTTGAATATCTTCTAAACCACTTGTCCGATTTCACCTACACACAATCCCATCCTGTAATATCATAAGAGCTACAATCTCACCAAATTTCAACATGCTATCTAATTTTTTTCGGGAGTTATCGTGCACAGAATAATTTTCTCATAAAAACGAAAAATGCCGATTATTACCACGCTGTTCCTAGTTACATAGCAATATTGTGATTCGATTTGATTTATATTATCACAAGAAGTATTTTGACATAAAAAACTTCAATTCAGTCACGAAGTTTTTGAGATATTGAGAAAAAACGATTTTTGAGAAATTGCTGTATCTCAGAAAGTACTTGACCGATTGAGCTGAAATAGTAGTACCAATTATGTGACGAAATGTCAGATTTTTAGCTTCAACTTTAGTCCTTTTTCAGTGAAGATTTATAAAAATTTTCCGACAAATTCGCACACACATGCCGACAAACATACCACCCATACATACCACCCATGCGTAATCATGGTGTCACTCGCTGATGTAATCAATTGTAATCCCAGTGAAATCAATGTATTGATTGTAATCACATGATTACCATATTTTTAATCAAGTTTTGGTAATCAAGTGGTAGTCATTTGTAATCACTGTAATCATTTGTAATCAGTGTAATCTTTCGTAGTTTGAACAGAATTTCAATGAAATATTTCATTTTTCAATGACACGATTTCCTGAAATTTCAGTGGAACTTGACCACGATAAAAATTTTCGGAATTTGGCACGGAAAAGTCTGACGAAAATTTCCAACAGTGTACAATTTGCTTCCATTCAGAAACAAAAAAAAACCGTGTTGGTGTCAGAAACCCGTGCTTTACCAACCCATCACATCATCTTGAGTTATTGTCAAACTCGTGGGTATTGCCTCCTCGAAAAACGATTATCTCGCGGGCACGGCTGCGCATTTCCACGGGATTGTAGACTTGCACTATGATTCCCTCAGTTGCATTAACAAGTAACACGCGATGCTGGTAAATGCACTGTGACCACGCAACATCATCGATCATCCTTCTGTTATACCCTTGGATAATATAACATGTTGATTAATGTACTTTGAATTTGACGTGTTTCTCCGTCCAGCTACAGTGGTGCAGTTGCCACGTTAAATAGATTTGCATGGAAAACCTCATTGAATTATCTCTCAGTAGTCATCAAGTCATTATTAACGAAGGCTGATGATTTTTCCAATTTTCTTTTCTTTTCTTCCAAAAACATTGAACTTTTAAAACTCAACAATGAAAGAAATTCAATATGGCTATCCATTTTGCTCCTTTAATCTGCGAGATAGAGGAAAAAATTGAAAATTAAAAACCCCCGACGAAAAAGTCATCTTTTCTATACATAAGTATTGAGAACAACCAAAAAAAAAATATCAAAAATTTTGAGGCCAGATCTCGTACAATATTTAGCGGAACGGCCCCTATACACTGTTCACTGATGCCACATTAATGTCATAAATTACTACAGATTAACGCAATAAAGTACTCCCCATGTTTTCAGTATTTTTTTTCTCGGGATAATCCAGCATGTGGTCTGCAATTTCAGCTTCACGTGCATATATTTGTCAACCTGGGGCACGGCAAATGGTTTTACCACCCATAGTTTTTTCCGGGTCTACACAGACCGGAAATTCTCCGTCCTTTTTTTTACCCGTATATTTTTTTCTGCTCAACCCTCTGCTCAATGCAGCAGAGCTTCCATCAGTGGAGCTTTTACCCCTGTGCATTCATCTCGTTTTAGATGATCAGGTGAAAGTGCACGTATTCTATCTATTGTACGTGAATAATCCGATTGAAATTTATAAAGGCTTGTGAAGGGAAATCCCTACAATGTGAGTTCATTTGTTGAAAAAATTATCTTTTGTCAGTTTTTCTGGTTTTTCATATTTTCCGTGTTTTATATCTTCAATAAGAGGATTTTATGTCATTATTGCGGAAGTAATGTTTTCATTTTTGGCCGTTTTTACAATTTTATGAGATTTTTTATTTGACACACAACATTTTCATGGCTGGACATGAATTTTTGGCAATAAAAATCATGTTGAAAATCCAATACTTTCGGGGGATTTTATACTGTAGACTTTTATTACTAGAATGAAAAATCGACAATTTTTTCCCTTTTCTGCATAGAAAAAACAGTTGATACGAAAATGCAATACAATCTAGCTAATCGGAAAGCGAAGAGAATTTCAAGAACTTCTATTTGAAATCTAGAAGAAAGTGGGAGCGACCGGATAAACCCTTTTATAACCGGATTTATCAAAAATGAAATTTTAATTGAGACTTCATTTAAGGACATGATCTATTCTCACTCGCTTGACCCTTATATGTGCGTTTTCCATTTGACTCATGGGACAGATATTCGTTTGTAAAAATTTCCACATATTGGGTGGTTCATGACGAAAATTAATGATGAAAAACGTATTTTAATGCATTTTTCGACAGACGTCACAAGACTTTCCGAGCCATTCGAATTCAATAGAAATAGTAGTCTTTCTCACCTGAATTAGCCAAAGTAGGAGTAGTCTCCATGTGTGATCTGCCCACCAAAAATTGTGGTGGTTGTTTCGGCTTCAATCAATATCTTGACGAGCGTTCTTTCCACTTGCTTTGTTTCATCATACTTCATTTGAATTTGAATTGTATGCGTGTTACTAATTGATAGATGTACGTTTTCATGATGATTCTAATTGTACTCTTACTGCAGTAATCAATTCTTATCAGTGTAGGATCATAATCATGATAACACAGGATATTTTATTGGAATAAATGAACGTATATTTAAATTAAAATCGAATTAATAAAGATACATAGTCAAAAGAGCTAAATTGCTCTACATCTTCACGCGACATTCATCCGATTACAACTGATTCTTTCGTCATTCCCTCATTCGGCCAAAACACTCTATTCCTTGTCTATTTCAAAAATGTCCTCTCACTCGCACTCATTCCTAGCGAATACATCCTTTCTCCCAAAAAAGGATCTCACTGTTCTTTACACAGGCCACCCTCAGTCACTCAAGAAACTCTCAAACCAAACACGATTGTAATAAATCTGTCACACAGCATAAATACATTTCCGTTCCGGCGGGCGCAAAGTTACATTTCCCTCCCTAATAGAGGAATCGACTGTACCGACAGAGGTTTTCTGTGGTTTGCTCCGTCTCTCGCGGGAGCAAATGCGGTACAGTGTAGCAAGTCGACCACAGCCGCAAGGTTAGGTAGAGGGTAGATGGCGGAGTCAACCAAAGGGTTTAAAATGCCTTAAATAAAAATAAAAGAATCTTTTTTTGGTGAATTCCACAAAAACCAGTCAATCATCCCAAAAACCAAGCAACAACCTGATACCAAAATACATTTAATCTCCCAACAGGAGAAATTCATTTGCATGGCAATTAATTCAGACAAGAAAATGTTTCATTAAGTTTGAAGTTGCTATCAGCAACTCCAAGAAGAACTCCTCCACTCCTTTTTATCCTCCTCCTCCATTCTCGTTTACGCCCTACTGTTCCAGTTGAAAATCACCAGCAGTTGCTGTACGCGCGATAATATTGTTCAACCGAGTTCTCGACAAACGCGTAGACAACCCCTATACCGTCCCAATCTATTCTACCCCAATCGTCCGAGCGCACAGTGTCTTTTGGTGTTGGGGAATGGAGAAGGGGTTTAATTAAACTTTACTTACGTCCAACAGTTTTACCTGTCTATGAGTGTGCTACTGACTTTTGGTGCTTTCAAATGGGAATTTAATTCGTTTCTTCATCGGAGAAACTTTTCAACTTGGAAAAACACTCTGAAGTTAATTGACAATTAATTTTTGAATTGAATTGGATGAGGGCGGGGGTACTGGTGTAGTCTATCTGGCTGAGTAGCTGAGAAAATTTTCGATTTATGTAAGATGAGCAGTCTAATTATGGAACACAAGGTCAATTACAAGGTTTAATTATTCAATTATGATCAAGGCTCTGTAACCCTGCGCACCGTTAGTGTCTTTAGGATTCAAAAGGCTACAAGGGTCTCAGGGTACACCAAGGTTACAAGGGTCAAGAGAGTCAAAATCCCTTATTTGATTATAAATCTATTTGATGTTACAAGAAGGAGTAACGGGGGGGACCTTTGTAACCCTGAGGATTTTTGAGGCCTTTAGGGTCACAAGGGCTACAAGCCTCTCAGGGTACACCAAGGTTACAAGGGTCAAGAGGCTCAAAATCCTTTATTTGATTATAAAAGTCTATTTGATGTTACACGAAGGGGTAACGGAGGAGACCTTTGTGACCCTGCGGATCCTTGGGGCCTTTAGGATCAAAAGGGCTTTAAAGATCTCAGAGTACACCAAGGTTACAAGGGTCAAGAGTATCAAAATCCCTTATTTGATTATAAGTCAATTTGATGTTACAAGAAGAGGTAACGGGGAGACCTTTGCGACCCTGCGGCCCCTTGAGGCCTTTAGGGTCAAAAGGGCCACAAGGGTCTCAGCGGACACCAAG